GCTGCCTACTAAGGGTGCTCCAAGGGGCATTCTTGTAGGTTTTCCTTGTGAAGTGATCGACAGACTTTAAGAAGGTTTCTTATTTATGTTATTTAAATTTAATACTCTATCACTGGTGGATCTCCTATTTAAATGTAGAAGATGCAAGCGGCTATATCATTTATCAGTGGAAGTGGCCTTTTGTGATCGTTATTGTCTTTGCATGCAGTGAAGGCGTACGTGGCATCTCCTTGATAGCAATTGTAGTTCTCACCAAGTAAAATGAGGCCCTTGTCCCAAATTCACTGCGGAACTTCTAATACTTTTTAATAATAAATCAGTTCATTTGCCTACATCTCCCTTTCCCAAACTATCCTCCTTTCTGGAAGATCCTGTCAATATTGGCCTAGTTTTGTTCCATGAATGTAATTATTCCCAAGTCATTGCACCTGAGACTTCTGGTGAAGAAAATGTCTGCTCTGGTGCAGAGACTTTCCAAGTGGATAGCAGACTGTTTCAGAAATATCTATGGCGTCAGTACTTCAATTCCTATTTGATCCAGTTTTGAGAGCTCAGTCAAACTTAGCACCATGTTATAATGATGTTGTTTTACAGGCAATAAAGGCAGATTACCTCTGTAGAGTACTCTTGCTTATCGTACTAGGTATTTGTGCTTGGTGAGAACTTCAGAATTCAAGAAAAGCCTGCTTGTAACTAGCACAGGACGTGAAGTTGTGACTGTAGTGATCTGAAGGAAAAAGAATTACTGTTTTTGCTATAATAGGCTGATAATTTCTCTCAGATGTTCTGTTCAGGTCCATGCTTTGATGCACCCTCTTGTCTTACAGTCAGGCTTCTGCCTGGATTTAAAGAGAAAAGAGCTAAGTCATATCTATGCCCTTGGAAGAGATTTATGGTTGGTGACCGCATGTAATACTCTTGCATATGGCTGCATGTTGGATTCAAAGGATCAGTATTATATATTACATTTGAAGCTTAGGTTGCTTATTTGTTCTAATTATTGCCATTATATGCATCATATATACTTGAGTGAGAGTTCTCAGCCTAGCTTTTTCCTGTAGAGAGGTGATAACCTCCGGAAGGGTATCTCTTTGGTAAAGCAAGGCAAACCACAGCTCAGCTTCCACTCTGAGTGGGAGGTATACAAGAGATGGCAGTTTACTAACTTCACAATTCTTAAGTTTGTCAAAATGGATGTAATTATTATTTTTCCAGATGTTGAGGCTGAATATAGTTTTGTACTTGCATTGTTTTAAAATGCACCTATCAGAGTCTCTGGAAGTTAATAAAGCTCTATACGTGACAATACATTACAGCCTCTTTCCCCTAATCTCTGACCTGGGACGTAATTGTCAGTGTCCAGCTTTACATATTTGTGACTTTTTCTTGCAAATTTGAGAAACACTGGCTCATATTATGGGCTGTTGTAGTGCTTTAAGGAAGTTGGCTTTCAAGGAATAGCCTTGAATTGCTTTTTAAAGTTACTTTTTATAAACAACTTTTCTTTCACAGGGAAAAGAGGTACTAGCAAAGCACTGAGATGTTAAAAAGAAGTGTACCAACCCATATATCTTCATATAGAGGATTTGACCTTGAAGTTCTGGCTTACCTCCAGCTTTGCAGCTAATGATCAGATAAAGTGAGCAAAGCAAGCCACTAACAAAGCACCTATTTGGCAGCAATGCAAAAACACAAATATTGTTCACACTGTATTAAAGGTAATGCACTGTGAGGAAAGAATACAGCCCAAAGTGCTGTGCAATATAGCTCGGTTTAATTAGGCCCATTAGGATGTGCACGTTTAATGGTTCTTACAATTTTTTTTCTAAAAACTTTGAATTGGTGGCATTTAATATAGAAAAATCCTGAAGGTTTCAGGTGCTTCCCTCTTATTCCAGGAACTAAACTTCATTAGTGCAGTTATTAATGTTCTTTTTACAGATGTTTCAGTTTCAGTTCTTTTCCAGGTTGTGATTCATTGATTATTGTTCTTAATCAGTGGTACTGGTGAAAAGATTTGTTGCTGCTATGTGTGGTCATTTCTCTCAGCCGCTACTGATAGACTGTTTGTAGCACATTGAACTTGCTTTTTATAACTGATTTCCTTAGGAAGTGAGGTTTATCAAATCACTGTTATTTATGTATTTTTGGCATACCTTCTAAATTCTTTAGCAAATTTCGTCTGGATAGAAGAGGAAATAATTTTAAAAGAATTAAGCTAGTGCAAGTTTTGTGAAAGTAGAGACAAGAAGAAAGGCGACCAAGTCTACTTCATAAAAGTATTTTATTAGACATCAGCAAGTCCATATGAGAGAATCTACAGATATTACAGCTGTACAAACATAAGACAATCATTAGAAAACAAGAACAGGCTTCATTAGGATCAGTACTCATGGAGCTAAGTGCTAAAAGTTAACTTTTAAAAAGGATTCAAGAACATAACATACTGTATTCTGCTACATTATGTTAATTGGCTAAACCACTTGGTAGCGTAACTTATATTTAGACAAAATATTCCATCGTGAGTGTTATGAAACAGAAGTGTAATGCAAGACCTTATCAGTGAAAGATCATAGAAGTAAAAAAGAAAAAAAATGCACATTCAATATTTCTTCTAGAATACAGTCAGCGTGAAAGTAGTTTCTATATCTGGATGGACAAAGGTTTTGTTAGGTAGCTCTTCAGAAAAATACTTACCTTCCAGAAGAGGATATTGGACCTACTAAAAGAGAGATCTGCTTTTGCCTTGATTTCTGAATTGCAGTTTCTCTGCTGGGAAGTAGTTTTTGCTGCATTAAAATAAGTCATTTTGTTTAAAGACTGGTTTAAGTATAGAGACTTTTGTTTAAAAACAAAACCCTTTATATGCTAAATGAGGGGGCTGGTAATACATTAAGGCAGATCTTGTCAAGTGGTTACAAACGTGCAAAAGATGAACAAGCAAATCTCTAGTAGCTGCAGAGTCATTTCAATTTACAATTTTTTTTTTTTCTTCCCCCGTGGTCCATGTTACAGTTCGTCCTGACAGCTGACAATAGCATCTTTGGGATTCTGTCTGGTTTTTAATTTATGACCATTTGAAAAAGTCGTTTAGCCACAATGGCTTCGGAACAGATGGTGTTATGAGGATCACAGACCTGAAGACTTACCAGAGGGCTATGAAATGCTATGACACTAGTGCAGTCTGTGATGATGCTTTGTCATGTTAATTGAATGCCTAGCCAGAAGCTGGTAGGTTACAGTTGCCAGAAATAACTGTTCTTGATGTAAAGTCTAAAACAGTATGAAATGCTGTCAAATCTATTAAAGTAATTGATGCATCAAACTTAATTTCCTTTAAAATTGTGATATGATAGGATAAGCAGCTGGTGATATCTGTGCTGAAAATAAATGGTGCAGCTTTAGTTTGGGCATCCCGAAGTCATTTCGTTTGCTGCAGAATCAAACCATAAGCTTCCTAAAATTGTAGGAAGTCTTATTAGTAGGTGAAGTCTTTCTGCTCTGTGCACTTCATTCAGTTTAATGCAACATTTACATCTGAATGTTTTTCCTAAGATAAAATCCCTATATGTTTAGCACAATGGCTGGTAAGAAATTTTCATATTCACCCTACACTCAGCAGCTGCCTAAGTTTCATTTCAGAATTCCCACCTTCCCCCCACCCCAGCCCACACTATTGCTGTAGCTCTTGTCCTCAAGAGTGGAAACTGCCACTCTGAATTTCAGCTTTTAGCTCAATGAGCATTAACTTCTCAGTTTGCTTACTCTGATCAAATCATAACTTCATGTGGGAATGGTTTTTCTGTCATTCTTGTGCTCTTCCTGCCAACTGTGCTCCAATGAACTAGAAAAGTGACTCAGATGGACAAGATTCTGATGCCCTTGGAAGCAGGCTTCAAATCTATTCCAGTGGGCCGTCAACTGACGGTAGCAAACCAAAGGAAGGGCATGAGGGAGAAAAAGCAATCAGAATTGCACCAGTTTTCTGGGCAGATTCCAGCCTTGGGCACTAACTTGCACAGTTCAGAAAATGGATTTCAAGAGCCTTAAACTAACTGCAGCAGTGCTATGTCAATCAGTGCATTGATGGAAAACCACTTATAAAAAGTCCATAACCATGTAAACTAATATTTTGCCTCAGGTTTGAACAGAAGTGAGATATTTATCATGGTTGGCAAAGGCAGAATTGGTAAAGGAAATGAAAGTATGGAAATAGAGGTAAGTGCAGCTCTTAAAGCGTTCGGTGGCAGAGGGGTGCGGAGGAGTTGACCAGAATTCTGTAAGAACTCATAGATGAAATAAATCATTAGTCCAGAAATATTTAATGAAACTTAAGCTAACGCAGGATTACAGAAGAGTAAGTATGGTTCATATGCTTGGAAAGAACAGTTAAAGGAGAAGGGCCTTGGTTGCATTAAAAGTGACATTTGGAGACTCTTCAGGCCTTGAGTAATAGAACTGTGTTGACACTCACAAATATAAAGTGCAAGAACAGAGGGATGGAAATGATGGGAAGACAGAGAGCTGAGAGTCCTAGCTGATCTGTTCGCAAGACCTACATCTTCATTGTTCCCAAGTTGGCAGAGTCCAACATGGGACATCGTTTTCTGTCCTTTTTTTTCTTCTTCCCTTATTAAAAGGGGTGATGTTCATGCTGCACTAGTCGTGTCATGTCCCCTAGATATGAAGACTGCCATGCCCAGCAAAACCACCTGAGGCTGACCCACAGGACTGGTGTACCCGCAGTGCCAACTCAAGTACAGGTTTCACTTGGAGCGTTCTCCCAGGCTGGCCCGGTGATTCTCTTGTGCCCGAGGAATGTGGCTGGATGGCAAAACTGGACTGGAGCTTGGCGTCAGGGTTGTTCTTGTACACAGTGAGCGCTTAAGTGATTGTCCGGTGACAGAACTGTAGCAGTGGAAAGTCTTCAAAGCGTTTCCTGTGGGGAATGGGAAAGTTTAGAAGGACCAATAAAGACTTTGCTTGATCTGAAAAACCATCAGTAATAAATATATGCTCCATGTAAATACATGACATAAATTAGCATAATCAAAGTAAAGCAAGGTGACATTTGCTGTAGAACAACAACAACAACAACAAAAAAAAGGCAACTAGGAAAATAATTGGGAAGATAATTTGATTCCTAGCAATTAAAGTCTAAACACTATGGAACTTGGTACTTTTTAAGAAGAAATTCTATACTGAGGTTACCTGTAACAACAGGGATGCAAAATGAATGACCTAAGAAGTCCTTCCTTTTACTCCTATTAAGTAAATCCAAAATATTTTATTGTTGGTAAGTTTTAAGTAAAAAGTGAACAATAATCCACAAAGATTCACAAAGAGAGACTTATGAAAAAGCCTTATAGGTTTATATGGACTTGAACTATTAAAGACAGGTGAAACTGAACCTCTATCTTTGTGTTTGCTTCCAAATCAGCGGTAGAAAAAGCTGATTTGTTGAAGTATTTATTCTTCTTTTTTACTTTTACTGTTTTTTCCCCAGAATACATCTTTTTAGCGTTTCTCTCTTTAATGGTACAGTACCATTTTTCTTAAGTTTTAAAAGTGTCGTCTTTAAGTATATTCAATTTCTTAGTGTTTTGTTTAACAACCTGCCAAGATAGTGTTATATTTTTTTTCTTTTGTTTTTCTAAAAGTGTTAAAGGCCCTTTCTTAGCCAATGGTTAGCATTTGGCTGTTCTGACTTCTCCCTGATGGGGCACAGATGGGTGTGCGTATGGCTTCCGTTCGTACTGAAAATATCCTTCCCTTAAAGACGGATCAGTTTAGCAGTGGTTATCTACAGCTTCCTGTTTCAGTTAAAATCTGGGGAGGTGAGAAGAAGGTGTATTCCCTCTCATCCCAGCAGATTTCTGCAAAGTTCCACGTAGATGTCTCTTCCCGTAGTGGGACATGGGATTTGAGGAGCAGGTGGCATTTCAGATCTGCTTTGGCTGTGAGGGGAAATGGTCTGCATCTGTTGGGAGTGCTGTACCCCTCATAGGCTCTCTTACTAGAAAAAAGCACAGAATTGTTTCCAGTACTGTTGGCTTTGTTAAGAATTCCTTTATCTTTCTGTTTTATTAAAAACAAACTCTTTCTTAGAGATTGTTAAAATGTTACTTTGGGTTGATTGATGTTATTGTAGTATCAGTCTAGTATGGGCTACCCTGTTGTTATAATGCCTTTGAAACCATGTTGTTAGCCATAGACTTAGTTACAACATATGTAGGTATGTAGCTCTGTGTGCAAGTCTCTTCGGCTAAGGGCAAAAGTAAGAAAAATGTGAATGATGTGCTTTAATAATCTTTGCATTTATATTCCTATTTTATTTTACTAACCAGAGGACTTGCCATCTTATACTGTAGTTCTGACTGAATATTTATTACAGCATTTATCAGAATATGTGAGAGCAATACAGATACATAAATGTGAAAATGATAGTTCAGAAGAATATTGTTCACTTCATTTTCTGAAGTTCTTTCTATAGTCTCAATAGTTCAGAAAAATAAACGGTGTTATCTCCAGTATCGAGTGTGGACAAGGATGGACTACAAGTACTAGCCTTGAAAGTAAAGAGACAATGTAACCAAAAAAACTCCAAAGTACTCAGGCTTGAACTAAGTACTGTAATTCCACCTGTTCTATTAACATTGTAACCAGAGAACCTAGTACAGCGTTTGGAACTGTGTGTGGTTGTTGGTTGGTTGGTTGTGCTTTAGTGTGAACTAGCTGTTGCCCTAACTTTAGTCTGATTTATTCATTAGGCCATTTGATAGATTTTTTTTTTATCATTATTTCCAGAAGTCGTGTATCACCTGAATGTTCATTGTGGTTTTATAGAAAAACTTTTATGAGGAATAACACTAATATATTTAACTTCATACTTAAATATTTTAATGTTAGCTTCTACAAAGTCATTGCTTACTATTTCTTATTATTTATTCTTTAGTGGTATCAATATTTTAATAATGTCAGGAAATTTTGGTTATACTTCTGTCCAGTAATGATAATTTTGCATGGAGCACAAGCTTTCAAACCCAGGAACCTTCAGATATGCTAGCCTGAAATCTAGTCTTTAGGCAGCGGAGTAAGGACACTGAATTCACAGAAACCTCAATTCCTGTGAAGTCAAGGTTTTGCTCAGATGCTTGAATTTGGACTGAGTGGACGGACTTTGAGGCTCCTCGTTTCGAGAATCTTGGTCTGAGGCTGTTTTTTCCTCTACCCTGTTCTGCGTTTGTATTGTCTTTGGAGGATTTTTTTTTTTTCTTTTCAGATATTGAAAATATCTCTATGTTGTTTGTCCAGGGTCTGGAGTAACAGAAATATGATTTTCTCTATTTCTGACCCTTTGACTCAGAACTTGGAAAATAACGGCATCAGTAACAAGCAACACCTTGGAGTCTCAGTAGGTAGCATGATGATGCTGTGGTAAACCTAGCTTTTTTTTTAAAACCAATGTTCAAATACAACCACAGATTGTACTATTAAAATGGTAGTTTTTTCCTATAGTGAATATACTGTAATTAAGATATGCACTTGTATCTATAAAATGTTTAAATAGAGGAAAAAAGGTGAACCTATGAAATAGCACACGTGAGGGATCCCATGCAGTTTAGTGCTTATGCTTAAGAGATTGCGTTCAAAGGTCTAGGGTAGACTTCCGTTTCAGATGTGTGGTCTTGAAGGACACTATGCGTTTCACGTATATAATGAGGAAAGTTACCTTTCCTCATTTGCGCGTGACTACGCTGCAGGCTGCCGGGAGGCGAAGGCGACGCCATACCACGTCGCCTGTAGTGCTGCCTCGTGCTGTAACGTTTGGGAGGAAATTTCAAACATCGGCAACAGATGACAGATCCTCCAAATTCAGAACTGGCCATCGTCTGCGGACTCAGGCTGTGCTTAGCTAGTCCATGGTAGCAGTGGTGCTATAGTGCTTGCCAGAGCTGTGGTGATCGGACTTTTAAAGGTAGAACTGTAGTGTCTGTACTGCGATTGTAGATACAGCCAGTGAAATAGGCCCTCGGTACAAATTTCAGATGGAGATAAAAAGTTAGATGATCCCTGAAATAATTAGCTTTTTCACTCTGTAAGTAAGGTGGGGTTTCTTTGCTTCCAATACTTTTGCTGTAGCCAAATTCATTCTTGCACTACAGCCTGGTAGTAATTCTATCTTTATATGATATGGTGCTCACATAAACTGTAAAGCAAAACTACAGCAGCAAGATTATGTTGTCTTTAATAGGAGGGGGAAGAAAGTCTCTCAAGGGCTTCCGTTTTGGTAGAAGTCTGCGATCAGCAGTTTAAAAAAAATAAATAAAACAAAGCAAAAAACCAAAAAACTTTCCATTTTGAAACATCCTTCATCAGCAGCTGGGAGCAGTAATGAACAAAAAGGCAAACGCATTCCTGTTAGAAGGGGTCAGGCGTTTTCAAGGGGGTTATAAATACACAGATGCACCAACGACCACGCGTGTTCATCATTTCATGCTGGCAACGTAAAGTTCAGCGAGCAACAAAGCCAAAGTTGTTGTTTTAAAAATCTGTTGCCAAGCAGTAGGTTTGCTCCTAGCAACAAGTGTTTTGCAGCGGGGAAGCAATCGGATACCTTAGGGGGTATGTTGGGATTGGGGGGAGGGTAAGGAAATAACAAGCGAGGGCTGGGCGCTCTCTGGGGCCGTGGCTCGCGCGCGGCGGCTACGTTGCTCTCTGCGCTGGGCGATATTTTAGGGTAGGCAGTGAACAAAAATGTTGGCTGCAGGCACGGCTTCATGTTTGTTCATCACTCGCTTTGGTTTAGCGAGTGCTCTGCTGTAATGTCATTAGCTGGTTGTCCTCATTTAAGAAAAAAAAATCGAAACAGAGCTGCTAGGACGGGTTGCTTTGTGCACACTTGAACAAATACCCTTTGCAGTGTTTAAAAGCCTTTCATTGTTAAGAGAATGAGGTAGGTAGTTCGGCGTTCTGCGTTTTGGGAACAAGTGACTTGTACTCCCCTCCTCCAAGACAAATATTTGTATTTTGAAGCAGCATAAATCTAAACTGAGGCTCACCATATTTAGCTTGTAATTCAAAAAAAAAAATTTTTAACAGAAAATCATCTCTATTTGTAAGTGTTTGCAGTTAGTCAAATTGTTGAATCTGAAAATGTGAAAACCCATCAAAATCCCTGACATTGCAGGCACAAAACTATGTTTATTCATCGCTTTTCTGATGGAATGGCTTTTTTTTTTCCCTCTCCTTTCAACTGATGCAGTATGTGAGGTTTTTTTCTCATTTGCAGAAAATAGCTGCTTACCGTGATTAAACATGCAACTGTTTGCGGTATTCTCCTTCCAAAGAAGGAATGAATAAATGATTTCCTGTGCCACGTCATGCTTCCTTTAGATGGGCATGTTTCAGTACCAATTAATCAGCTCAAAGGAAAATAGGAGCGAATAGCCAGTATATAAATAACTTGCTATTTCATTCTGTATTATAAATGTGAAATGCGTGGAACCAAAAAGAAACATGTTTATATTGACTGTAGAATACATTTAAAACACGCGTATTTTTATCACAGGATATGCAAAATATCAGATAAAGTGTTTTACTTATTTTTCATACATCACAAAACGTTTCTTTTTTAGTTTTATCTCACTAGCACTTCTGTCTCATTATTATACCATAACACTGTCAAGTCTCTGGTAAACCTTCAAGTTTGAATAGATTTGTTTGAAAATAGCAGCCACCTTAGCAGGTGCAAAATAGACTGAAAAAGCAGCACGTAACATGGGGCGGTTTTGTGATGCTAAAATTACGGTGCATACGGATTTGCTCTGTATGTGTTGCATATTAAGTTTTGTAACTGTTTATAGTCAAAAATCTTCATTTGCAGGTTTTTTTTAGATTAGGAGGCATGTTTTATGTCTTTCTGCAAACCACCACTGA